GAAATACCAGGTGGTGGCACCTGGAAATTGTATGCAAAAACAGGGTCTGGACCAGACAAATATATATATATATATATATATATATATATATATATATATATATATATATATATATATATATATATATATATATATATATATAGGATGCTAGTTGTCTTTGTGATGCTTGCATGGAAGACCAGGAGGTGGCTCTTAGCACTTATATGTAAGACTAGGATTTGGCTCCGGGTATGGCGAGAAAAGACCATGATTAGCTCATGGCAACTAGTGACAGTAAGATTATGGATGACCCATAACATTCTCTATCCATTGTATGCTATGTGGTATTTTGTGAAACTCACTAAGCTTTGTGCTTATGATTTTATGGTTTAAACATTTTCAGGTACTTCCGGTTCCATAGGGAAGGGCTCGACTTGTCTGCACAACATCCCCTGGTGGCTTTTACGTGTTGATTGCAATTGTATTACTTTGATGTTCGAAAAAAATACATTTTACTCTTATTTGTTTTTAAAAAATAGTTGTAGGATTTTATGGCTTAAAAATGAAAATTTTTGTTGGTATTTTTGGGACATTAAAAATTTAGTCCCTTTTTACAGTTTTGGTGAAAGTAGAGAGAATATCTTTTGATAAAGCTTACAGCTTTATCAATCACATGTATCCCTAATGAGTTTTATCTTTTGGATCTAAAGTCAAACGGTGTTTTGGAGCCATGAAATGAAATAAGATCTGGTTTTCCCCCTTTTAACCTAAAATGGATTGGGGCTTGAATGTGGTGTTTAAGTTCATAAAGTTAGGATTTTATGGCTCATCTTTCCAAGATTAAGTCTTCTGAAAAGTTCAAATGCTGGTCTTGAAGGAATAAGGACTTAACAAGAAGTTGTTTCTGCCAGGTAAACCACGACATGTCCAGGGGCTGACCACAGCGTGGTGAGAAAAGGTTTCACAACAGGTATATTTTTACTACGATGTGGCAATCTGTTGGCCACTGCATGGCATGCTTGGGGATTGCGATTGCATTATCTTAGTATACGATGTGGCAAGGGTCTTGCCACGACAAGGACGTATGTTGAATTGACTTTTGGGACTAGGTTTGACCTTGGGTCAAATGTTAGGGTTTAGGTCATAGGCTGAGAATTGACCTTGGAATACGTGTATAGGTGGACGTGTGCCCACATTTCTGTGTTGTGAGTTGTAGAGGTTTTTGCTTTATTTGTGAGGTGAGTTTTCTCTTTGTGTTACTTTTATAGTGTGCTGTATGTGGGCTGTTGATAACTCGGGGATGCTGATAACCCAATTTGTTGTATGTGAGTTGGTGATAGCTCGGGGATTGCTGATAACCTAAATTGTTGTATTTGAGTTGTTGATAACTTAGGGTTGCTTATAGTCCATAGAGTTGTTGATAACTCGTAGTTGCCTTATTTATTAGCTATGTTGTGTTTTATATGATACTTTGGAGAAATCACTAAGTTTTGGCTTACAGTTGTGGATTTAAATGTTCGATGTACTTTTGAGGATTAAGGCAAGGCGAATATGTGACTATACATATCATCCAATAGTCTTCATGATTGTTGAGAGATGTTATGTTTGATACTCTGATTTTGCTTATGGTATATTGTGAATCAACAATTTTGATGGTTCTTGGCTTTATAGAAACACCTTTTATCTTTTTTAAAATGAAAAATTTTACCATGGTTTTTGGGACGTTACAATTACCGGCGATTCATATAGAATTTCTCGAAGTTACCGGAATGAGTTATAAGTCTAAAAGACCGAGGTACAATTAATTCAAAATCATAACACCATTGTACCACACAAACTATGACTTTCAAAATGTCTCTGCTAATCTTGTAAGTCTCTAATATCTTTAATCTGAGTACAAATCAAAGTGTAGTTAGGCAATAGAGTGTCTAATGGGAACCAAACTTGACTTATTTGGATTTGGTAATGATGACACATCATATTCAAATCAAACCTCACAAATCAGTTAAAAACAATATAAATTACAATTACAAAGGATCAACAAATACAGTGTATTAGGTACTTCTACTCAAATTCCAAATCAAAAGGGCTTAATAGCCCATCATACAAATTCAAATGGTTAATAACCCATGCAACCTCCATAATCAACGAAACTAAGATAATTAACAATGGTTAACTAATAAGCTCAAATAAGCTTTAGAAGCTTCTATAAAATCAATGAGATAATTCAATCATCTAATATTAATAATGCTATATACATCATTACATCTATCTTAATTTTAAATTCATCTCAATATTCTAATCTCACTCTGATGGTTAATAGGCAGGCATGGTCGCATCGCACAACCATAGTGGCACCGCTTGCATATTAACCATGAGATTGAGAAGTTTTAAGTGTAACACTTATATTTTGATGATTTTGGTCAAATGTATATAGACGTGAGAAGTTTAGTGTCATGCTATGAGAATAGAAGTTTGATTATCGATGATTGAGAGTTTCTTGGAGTGGTGTTATGAACATATATTACTGGTTTGAGTAAGTTTATATTATTTGTGGATTTTCTTGTCTCCCAAAATTTAATGAGCTGTTGTAGGCTTGTCGAAAATAACTGAAACCCGAATTACCCGTCCGACCCGTTATGAATTCGGGTAGATTAGGTCGGGTATCGGGTATGAAAATCCGGGTATTCAATTAACCCGATATTTAATTAGTTCGGGTATCAGATAGGCGAAAAAATTCAGATATACCAGAATACCCGTTTTTTTTTTAAATAATAATACACTAGTTATAATAATAACTATTAAAGTTGTATTTATCCATTAATTTATATAGTTATCAACTTTACTCTTAACCTAAAAACAGTTTTATTAAATAGTGCTAAACGTAACATTGTAAATTGAAGTATTTGTAACTATCTCTAATCTTAATTTTTTATTCCAGAAAAAAAAAAAAAAAAAAACAGGTTTATTTGTAATCTAAAAACGGTATTATAAAATAATGCTAAACGAAACACTGTAAATTCAGGTTGCAATATTCCTATTTCAAAACAATCAAACACTCACTTTAAGAAAAATAATATCAAAACTCAATATCAAAATCAAAAGGAAAAAAAAAAGGTGTAAAAAAGAAATATCAAAAGAAAACATAGTGCACATGAGTTAAAATAGATATTTACCTAATGTTTAGATTTCAAAACCTGTAGTCAAAATAATCTTTATTTACGTTTAAACAAAATATAATAACATTTCAACAACAATTGGCATTGAAAAGAAAAGTTGGAAGTTAGATTTGATAATCACAATGAGAGTTTTGATAAAAACGTAAATGAAGAAAATTTTATGAGGCCCAAATGTATAATTGGTTTTTTTTTTTTTTTTCAGATATACTGAATATACCCGACCCAAATTAAAACTCAATCCACCCGAACCCAAATACCCGAAGTGCAATATAGATCGGGTATCGGTTATTATTATTATTATTATTATTATTATTATTATTATTATTTTAAAACTTGAAGACATGTAATTTGTTGATTTAGATTCAGTTGCTTTGGGATAATGTTTAATCATTGTTTATATTGTCTAATATTGGAATTTTTCTCTTTTCAAAATTTGATGGTGTCACGTTATACGATTTTAGCTCTTAAACGAATTAAGGCATTATAACCTTAAGTGATCAAGCAGCAAAGATGATATTATGCAGCATCCGTAATTTTAATGCGATAAATATATTGAGATGTTTACGGAATATTTATTTTGTAGGGTTATGAACTCCTAAGCTTCAAAGAACGAGTTAGAATACACATATGACGCTTCAAAACAGAGAAAAACTCAAAAAAGAAAGCTTTGAGTTGTAAATCAAATAATAATACATAGAAAGCCAGATGGTGAGTTAAGCGGAGACCAACCTTTAAGCACTAAATGTTACTGTAATTTTGTCTCATTGACATCAGTCTTATTCTTTCAATGGAAAACACAGTTCAATTTATCTGTTTTTCCTATCATGTGTTACAAACGGGCCTTATGTCAATCATTCATCCTCACTTTCTCCGTTCACTAACTCAGGTCTCAATTTAGCTGAGAGTCCTTTTGCCAACATCTCTTCATCATACTTTCTAGCCATATCAATCATACCCTTTTTCCACCAAAGCATCAATCAAAGCATTATAAGCAAATTCATTCGGACTCAACCCATGATTTTCCATCTTCTCCCAAACTATAAAAACCCGTCTCAAAAAACCCCATCTCCCAAATTTCCTTATAAGCAATACATATGTATCCATAGTTGGACATACACCACTCTCAATCATCCTATCAAGCATTGAAAGAATCTCATTCGGCTTCTATAAGCACCTGAAAATGCAATGATAAGTGATCACATTGGGTGCACATCCTCTCTTAGACATTTTATCGAGCACCTTATATGCTTCCTTGACCCTCCCATTTTCACACAAAAGTTTAACGATTGTATTGTATGTTACAACATTTGGTTCACAGCCTAATTCCAGCATCTCACGACCAAGATGAACAGCCACATCAACACCCTCTGAAACACCGATTGCACGGATAACAGTGTTGTATGCCACCACATCCAATTTAATACCTTTCTTCTTCATCTCTTTATACAGCTTCACAGCCTTCCATGGCTTCCCACTCTTGCATTGAATGTCCATGTAAATTGAATACGAAAACAAATTTTTACTAATTCCATCTTCATCCATCTGTCCCCAAAACTCTCTACACTTAGATCACCACCCCATTTTATACCACCCGCGAAGAATCATGTTATACACTTTAGTACCCATCTCAAAAGACCCAATCTTTTCTTTAAAATTCTTATCTTTTCCTAAACATAACTCTTCTGCTTCGATTACATGTTTATACTCACACAATGCATCTACAAGATTCAAGAACGACGTCTCATCTATTAAATTAAATTCTCCTTACTTATCATATGTACTGATTGCTTCTTGAACAAGGTGTGCGGAAGCATAACGCTTACACATTACACGAAAAGTAGTATGGTCTCTATCAGGCATTTTATCGATCAGTTGCCATACAAGATCGTATTCGAAAAACTTACCCAAGATATCAATCATGTGATTATAGGTTTCTGTTGTGTGTTTGAACCCGTATTCAATTTCAACCCATTTGAAGAACTGAACTCCATTGCGCGAATCCAATCGTTGTTGGAAAGGAGGGAGCAGAGAGGATTCGATGGCTTCATTCAGTATAATATTGTGTTAAGAATTTGTCATTTCAGTATAATATTTACATCGTCTTCAATCATGGTGAAGAGCAAGAGGGAGACAGAACATGGTAGCATGTTCCCAACAGAAGCGGTTTATCTGAGAGTAGTAGATTGGATTAGAGTTAGTTGGATATGGCTTTAAATTAATAAACTTATCTAACATCTTAACTCTACTACTACTGTAATTATCATTAGGGTTGACAATTCTTGATACGATCCGCGACACGACACGAAATAAATGGGTTTGGGTTGAATTTTTCAACCCGCCAACCCGTTTATTAAACGAGTCATATATGAGTTTCTCAATAAATAAACGGTTTGACCCGTCAACCCATTTATATTTTTAATAAAAAAATTTATTTTATTTTTAAATGTTATTATGTATCAAGTATTAATATTTAATAAGTATTATATAATATATATCATTGATTCATAGACCATTTGATTGTTTTGACATTTTGACTCGTGGTTGATGGTCTAAGGTCGTAAGTCGTAACCTGTAAGGTTAAGTCTGTAACCATTTTGCCCATTTGCCCTAAATAATAATCTCAAAATCAAATCGTGTATGAGCGTATCTCCCTCTTCCAGACTTCCAGTCTCCTGGTCTCCTACAGTCTCACACTCCCCTCCCCTCTGTTACTCTATGATCGAAATCAGGTATCAAAATGGTATTGTAGAATTGACTTTGTTTTTTGGGAGAAAAAAATGGAAATTATGGCTATTACTTTAGCACTTGAATTATCTATGTTTGTATTAATGTTTAGTTTGAATATGTTTCTATGAATGTTTTTAATTTTCATTTGGATGTTTAAGACTTAAGCGTCTAAAATTCGGATATGTTTGCATCAACCGTCAAGAATTTATTCATGTTTCATTGTCAATTTTATTTATGTAATCTGACCCACGAACCCGCCAACCTGTGAACCCGTATAAATAAATGGGTTGGCGGGTCGTATATGGGTTTATGTTCAAAACACGCCAACCCGTGACCTGTATATTTAAATGGGTCGTGTTTGAGTTGACATATTTTGACCCGCCAACCCGCGACACGCCACCCCGAACACGACACGATTGTCAGGCCTAACTATCATTATTGAAAGGTTTACCTAATTCCACCGAGTATACCCGGTTGAGTCATGAGTAGTCATGAATATATACCCGGCTGTTTTCGGTTCACTTATATTGTGGTGTAATTTTTCTGGGTGTGTTGATTTGGGTTGGGTAGCTGTTTGGCATGTGTGTTTTTTCCTTTTCTTTTGTTGGTGTTGTAACATTGCATGCGGTTGCTCAAAGATTGCAATTGATTCAAATCAAAAAAGGGGAGGCCGGGGTTAGTTTTGATGTCTTTGGTGTATTAATTGCTTGGTGTGTGTTTTCGTTTTCATCTCTATGTGTGTCAGTTTTCTAATTACCTTGGTGCATGTGTGTTCGATCACTATGCATCTCGGTTGCTGTTTTTTTGGCGAACTTTATCTTCATTGGGTTATGTTGTTGTTTGTTTTATTTTCCAATTTTCCACTCAATTTCATCTCTTCCTAGTGTTTTCATTTGTAATCTTTGTACTCTTCTAGCGCCTTTAATTTGCTGGATTTTATTTTTCAAAAAAAATTAGAAAATCAAAAAGAACTAAGAAGAAAAAGGGATGACGATCTTGTATATGTGGAAAGTTAATAAGATACTCCCGGTACTTGTTTCAAAGGGACCCACCGTTTAAATTGTTCTTTCTTTTTTTAATTGTGATTCTATAGATTTATGACGGCATATTTTGATTTTAGATGTCGTTGGATATATTTTCACGACGACACAACTTATCCTCAATTCTGAGAAATTTTATGATCCCCAAACCACAAAAGTTTACGTGAAAAATATTTTAATATGTGAGACAGTTTTATAATAAAATCTATAAAAAGTATTTGATCTTTCGTACACACTTTTTTTAATTAATATATATGACTAACATATTTCAGAATTTAAAAACTTATTGTAATATCTTCCACAACTTTTTCTTAATCGCAGGTGATTACTTAATTATAGCTTCTTTACCTTTTTCCCATACGCGCGTCAGATATTTCTACGTATATTTGGAGAACCATACATGTCATGATACATGGAAACTCACAGTATACATGCATGCATGGTTATAATAATTAGTCTATTCAATATCACTAATTACATTATATGTACGGAGTAAATTTATACTATAACAACCATTTCAAAACTTTTACAATAAAAACCTGTATAATTCCTTGGACACCAAGAGACCTAGTAGTGATTATTTGAGATTTAAACACTCCAAATTAAATGGAGTAATTAATTCTCATGTTGGAATCCTACAAGCTTCAACATCAGAGTTTAACTGCCATTAAATGATATCCTTGTGATAGATGTCAAATTGTTAAAACTTGTTCCTGATGTAGTTGACGAGCTTTGAAATTGCCAAGTGTATATTTTCTCCAAGTGAGGTCACAATGTCGATAGAGTTGTAAGCTATTATGACTATAACGAGCAAACATGTAGCTAAATATCCAATCCACATTAGATTTGGAGGAAGGAGCAAGACAAACACAAGGGAGAGTAGGGCAAAAACTATTGAGAAGAAAGCAACACTTACTAAGATGATATGATGAATGGATGGGGAAGATAACTGATTCGAGTTGGAATGCTCGTTTGTATGATACAAAATCCAGTAAGTCGGTGCAAAAATAAATACTGCAGCCACTGACATGATCATAGAAAAAGTATGTGTTTCAAACGCAGATTCTTTTTTGGATTGATACTTGAGTTGAAGGAGTCCGATCAATGAAGCATACACTGCAAGAAAGATTCCAACGTACACATGTTGCAACATGCTCGAACAAGTATGAAACCTGCCACAATAAATACGAGCTCTAACAGTGATCACTTCATGGATCTGCAATATACATATGATACAGAAATAGGATTGCTATGCATGCATGATACCTTTTTATAACGATACAAAACACTAACTAATTATAACAACCAGTTTGTTTTTTGTCCTTTACAATCCGAAATTAATGTAACTCACAAAGACGGAGGTTGAGCTGTGGCAGTTTGAGACGGTTCTGGAAGTTGGATGGAAATGACAAGCTCTCCGGCTGATCTTATGGTGATGGTAGTCATTGGAATATCGGCCATGAAGAATAGCTTTGTGGTGGTAACTTGTTTTTTTGGGGTGTAAGATTTTCACGGAAGATCAAGAAGCTAATAATCGGATGAGCTAGGTAGAGATAATTGGTGTTTAGGATGATGGTGACGCACGGCTAGCTGTCTGTGGTAGTAGCGGGAAGAAGGCGATCGATGGTGCTGGCGGGTTGCTTAGCTGCAGGTGGATGATGGGCAAGTATATATCAGATGGTGGCTGGTGGCGGATGGCGGCTGAAGGAGGCAGAGGGTGGCGTTTGGCTATACTTAATCAATAAGATAATGCAGCCTAGCTATACTTCCTAGCAAAATCTTGGGGGTCTTTATAATGTCATGTTACATCATTAATGAGCAAACACCACTTGCATCGGGTTAAATTTGGTGAGTCCTCTCCCACTTATGGGAACTTTGCTTTTAGGGTTTCGAATATATTGTTTCCCTTTCATTTAAATCGCCTTTAATTTCATTCCATCGGGTAACTAAACTCTTTTGTTTCACCTCACGAAGTAGGCTTTTGATTGTCATATGTATTAAACATTTTAATTCATAGAACGAACACCAAATTAATATATAGCTCTTTTAGATGGACATGATCTATTTTCAAATCAAAATTTCAGTACTGCTTAATTACATTTGCAATAGACTAATAAATACAATATGGTTAGTATACATATAATTAGTTTAGATGAATATAGGCCTACAAATTAAAAATACTAGACCACACTATCTTTTATAAAAGAAATAGTTATAAGTGAAAATTTTAATATAATAAATAGAATATCCAAATTTTTAATATGGACATCTATCACCAAATTAAAAATTCGCCTTTATTCATCCCTAACAAACACCTTAGGGGTTAAGTACTTATTTGCACCCATCCTTAAAATTTTAGATCGGTGTATATTTCATATATCAAGCTATTATAACGAACAATAAACACATCAACAAATAACATATAACGCATATATAATATCTTCTTAACTGTTTCAATAACCGATTTGTTTAAACTTATAGACACATACCATTTAACCTGTAGTAGTTTATTTATTAAGTTATAAAAAAACTCTTTTTATTTTTAATCTATAATGAGGTGATTTTCGTATATAAAATGTAAATAAGTTATTTTATATTGATTTTTAATTTTTTTAAACTATCAACAAAATCTCCTTAATTTAAGGTTGCAGTCTATTGTATTTTTTATACTTATTAATCTCTCAAATCCTAAGTATAAATTTCAATTGATTGTTAACTGAAAAAAGTTTTACATATACTTAACGGGTGAACAAGCAAAAAATTGTGTCGCAACCTCTAAAAATAATATTTATAGATCTTGGAGTGATAATATTACTATGCATGATCTGTTGGATTCTATTGAGTATTGAGGAGCTCCTGAGTTTCACTACAAGAAATCTGGGTATTAGTGACGACACCAATAGGGACGACGCATGAATTAGTGGCCACACCTGGGAATGTCGTCACTAATACCCTTGTCGCCCCTATTGGTGTCGTCACTAATGCCGACGAAAAAAGACCGTGATATTCCCCCCCCCCCCCCCACACATTTTTCATGTCGTCGTCTCTAATGCCCATGTCGCCCATATTGGTGTCGTCACTAATGCCGACGAAAAAAGACCGCGATATTTTCTCCACACATGTTTCATGTCGTCGCCTCTAATGCTTTTGTCGTCACTATTGCTCACGATCCGTGTGCTCTCTTTTTGTGTAATCCAGGCCCTCCATCTCCTTGACAATCCACGGTCCGCCTTTGTCCACATTATTTGATAAGCTAATCCACCACCATACTCTCTCTCTCTCTCTCTCTCTCTTAAAAGATAACTACAACCACCACCACCACCAAACTTGGCCACCATCCACCACCACTAGAACCACCTTACCTCATCATCTACCACTATTTTCCATAATCAAATACCAACAGAAAAACTACAACCGCACCATCTTCCACCATTCTCCACCATCAGC